CTTCCTTCTCTTCCTTTTCCATTAAGCACTGCTACCGTCATACTGAGGAGGCGCTATCGCGGTGTCGAGTTAAGACGCATATGACTTAATGGACCAAAACAATATCTTATCTCACTCGTGCCTTCTTATACTGTTCTTTTTTTCTGTATTCTATCGCGGCTTCGCCATTTAAGCTTTCAGGGTCAACCTGGATGCTACAACTGGCTTAGCAATAAACGATTTTTTATTGACCAGTTTAAAGATAACAGCCATAATGAAGCTTCCTTCAGTCGAAAGTCAAAATCTCTCCACATCTTCTCTCAACGAAAAGCGAAAAAACCCAAAAACAGCCCCAATGCTAGCATATACCAACCACCTAATGCTTCGATTATTCCCTTTTTCGGGAGTCCCTTATAAGCAAGCTAAATTTGAAATAAAGTTTTGTTCACCTGTGCAATATTTAGCTGTCTCCTTTTGAAGAATACGTTCCAGTTGCGAAGAACTCTGTGGTTGGAATAAGCTGCTATCTGCAAAACCTAATCGGCGATTACGACCAGCTTCCCGGAAGCATTGTTGCGCAATTTCGCAGCATCTATCTGCCAACATTTGCCTAAAGTTCACATGCTTTCTGAAGACTGATTAAATAGAGGCAAAATACTGCGGCAATAATTAAAATCACTGGGACGCGCACCAGCAGAATCCATGCGATCATCGTTTCACAAAATTTCGTGCTGTAGTACGATCGCTTGGAATTCCAGTAGCTAGAATTTGTGACATACTGGTCCTCGAAGTTCAGGAAGTTAATTGTGCAACTAGGTGGTGCTTGAAATTTTTTCCCTTAAAATTTCAGCTTTCCTGTTTCTCTGGTTTCCGCGTTAGCAACTTTTCCGCCAAAAATTTTGACGGGCCTGTACGTGACAGCCACGCATAGCTAGGGGCTGAATTTGAAATCTTTAAATTCCTCTCCATAATTTTCAACAAAAAACACAAAACTAAAGCTTCGCCAAAGTGTTTGTATCGAATGAGCCACTAAGCCGATAGTTTCTTCAGGAAATTATTAGTTTCAAGGTTGCCAGAAAACTGTTCATCATATGATGAAGCATTGGTCAAAATAACCAAAAAATAAAGAAAATATTTCTAAGATTTTTGCCTAAATCACTGGAACCAGTGATGAACTAACAGCTGTTTCAAAAAATATAAGGTATTTAAAATCTCGCACTGTAAGAAGTGCCTTCCCCCTTTTTCCCCCCCCCCCCCCCCCCCCCCCCCCCCCCCCCCCCCCCCC